CCCCCTCCCCTCCCGGGCTCTCATAGGAGCTTGAGGCGGCAACACTAGCCCAGGTGGACACAGCCAGGAAGGGAGGCAGAGGAGAGGGTGGCCAGCAAGACAGATGAACACACAGCAGTCCCAGACACCAAACAATGTAGGAGCTGCACAATGCAAGGCTAGCCACATTCTTCTCTGCCTCCTTCTCTCACACATACATGGGAAACAGAGCTATACACAGGCACTCGTATATACACACACACCACAGAGCCAGGAACCTCCTCCGAGACACACACACACACAGAAACACAATGTCCCCTGTATATTTATACAGTCGCAGCAAGATCACTTTTGCCCTGCCCCTTCCGGGCACTTCTCAGCCTGGGCCCAGGGAAAGGCCAGTTAACAAGAGCAAAGGCTATGGCACATGTCAGACCCAGCTAAACACATTCAAGTCACTGGGTCCCTTAATCTTGGCCACAGTCCTAAGATGTAGATATTCCTACCCCATCTTACAAATGAGGGAATGGATTGAAAGCAGTTAAGATGCTTGCTGAAGCCATGCAGCTGCTGAGGGGCTCAAGTGGGTTTGCTACCTGGGGGAGGGTGTTGGGGGACAGCCTCCTGGGGTAGAGAATGAGTGGTGGGCAGGAAGGAAGGACCACTGTATGGGGCTGGGGTTGGGGCGAGGCTGAGCCCATGGCATTGGCACTCTTTACGCCTGAGTGCGCACTAGGACTGGGATGGCCTGCTCCTGTGGTTGCACAGTGGGACACTGGGACTAGGCCGTGTGCTTCCGTGGGTTCTAAAGCCGGGAACTGAACTAAGACTGCAGATCTGAAGGAGCTCCCCAGCCTGCCCGCAGCCATTGTTCCTGGCCTCCAATCAGGAGCACCCACTTCCTGTTATTTTAGGCGGCAGGAAATGACCCCATCCCGCAGCCCAGGCTCCACCAGTCCCTTCCTCAGCCCAGCAGTAGCAGCCGCTGCCTAGGTTGGGGTGTGTACATGCTGGGAATGGAGACCTTGCTTCAGGCCATGGCCTGGCGATGACCCACAGGCTGGGAAAGTCACCACCACCTGGGCTGGGGACCTTCTTCTGGTCCAACTTGGCAGCATTCGCAGGAGCCCAGGGAGGAGGGAAATGGGTAGGGAAGAGGTACTGCTGCCTGCCAGAGAAAAGATCCTGTGGTCCCAAGCAAGACCATTCATGCACCAGTTAGACCCTGTTGCTGGCTGGCCTGGTCATGATAATTTAACACACACTTCATTAATGTTATTTTGCTTAGTGACATTATTTATTTGAGAGACAGAGCTTTCTACTCCCCAGATGCCTGCAGGTGACTAGGGGTGGGCTCAGGTGAAGCCAAGAGCTTCAATCAAGGACTCCCACCTGGTAGCAGAGACAGTACGATCCGATCCATTGTCACCTGCCACCTCTCAGGGTGTTCACTGGCAGACAGCTGGACTCAGATATGCTGACAGCTTGAACTCTGGCACTCCAATATGGAATGTGGGTGTCCGGACGGACTGCTGAAACACAGGGCCAGAAGCCCCCCACCACCACCACCACCTGACAACCTTCACAGCCAACTGGATCTGAATGGAAACCCCACCTCTGCCAGGGCCTAGTGGTCTAACTATCTCTCTGGGCCTCTCGGGGAGTCTGCTAGTCTGGACCCAGGAGATGTTGTGAAGAACAAGTGGGGAACAAACACATTGATATACCTGATGAACTAAGCACTGTGTGGGGAGTTGACAGATGAATACCGACTCAACTTATCAGGGAGGCTGTGCCCAGGCAAGGATGGAGAAGGAGGGTAGCCATATCTTGTGCCTACCCCATGCAGGCTCCCTGTTCCCCTCTGGGCAGAGCTGCAGCTGAGAGGTGATGGAGGAAACACTGAAGGCTGTGCCCCGGGGTGCCAGGCAGAGCCACCAGCAGTCAACAAAGCTGCATTATCTGGGCTTGGCTCCTTGGCTCTCTCCCTGGCCCCAAAGCCCAGTGGGAACCCAAGGACGTGCCTGCTGCCTGACTGGCTGCCCCAATGGGCCCTGAGAGCTGCCCTCACCACCCTCAAGTGCCAACATTCTGACTGAATCTTGCTGTCAGCCCCTTCCCCCTTCCCTTGCAGTAGCAGGTGCTCATCCTAGCAGGGTGGTGGGGCTGGGGGCTAAGTTGGCATACTCCTCATTTGCATGTGTGACTGCCCATTAAGGGCTCATTAGAGGTCTCATTACTGGGCCCACCAGCCCAAGCAGGGCCAGGGAGCTGCACTGGGGAGGCGCCAGCCAGTGTGGTTGTTGTGGCAGTCTCACCAGTTTCTACTCATCCTTCAGGTCTACTCCAAAAGCCTCCTCCGTGAAGTCTTCCACAAGCACAGCTACCGCCCAACTGCCTCTTCCTCCTCCCCTGCACTGGGTAAGGATGGGGTCTCAGACACATTCCTGCCACTCTGGCTCATGGTCAGGCACTAGCACAGCCATGCTGGGTGGCTGTCACTCGAGTCTTGGGCGCCACTTCAGGACCCAAAGCCCTCTCATCCTTAGCCTCTCCCTGGCTTGAGTCTGTCTAGGATTCCCATCCCACTTGCTTTCCACCCTGATTTTAGCTCCTGACATTCTAATGAATCATGTCTCTGGCCAGGCTCTAAAGAAGTTAAAAATTATAGCACAAAGAACGGGCTTACAGGGAGAAGGTGCTGTGTGCTGTGCCTGGGCCTGGGCATGTGGCTGGAGGAGCCCAGGGCCCCTGCGGGTCCGTTTCTAGCATTCCTCTGCTTTGACATATAGGGAAACTGAAGGCTCGGGGAAGACGAGCTGAGAAGTAGAGACTTAGAGCACATCCAGAGCCAAGGTTCTGCAATAACCTGACTCCCTGGGCGCCCCACGCCCCCGTGCTGGCATGGGCTCCCGTGAACATAACCACAATCATGCTAATCGCACTTTATTGTGGGTGTCTGGTGTCTGTGCGCCAGGTTCCTTGACATGTCTCATGTCTAACCCTCCCATTAACCCCACGAGCTTGATAACACTATTCCCATTTGTTTGGGCCAGAAACAATGGCTCCAGGTGTTAAGTCACTTGCTGCAGGCTGGTGACCAGTAAATGGCGAGTGGGGTCTTCTGACCCCGGAGCAGGTGCCATCCTTGTCCCACATGCCACATGCCTCCTGTCAGTGAGCTCAAGCACAAGGGGGACCTCCGAGGGGACAGGAGCCATGTCTCAGGCACTTGAGCCTCAGACCTAGGCCTCAATCGTTCCCAGAACACATGCTAGGAGCACAGCATTTACTCCCCAGGAAGCCCTTGCCTCAGAGGTGATTCCCATCACCTTCACCTATGTGGGTCGTGTTCCTGTAACTCCATCTAGACCCTGGTGTGTAGAAGACCCAGTCCCACCCAGCACCCTAGATGTCTCACCCCACTCAGGCCTCCCAAGCATCCCCAAAACACCCTGCTGGTGTTCAGCATAGGCGCTCATTACCAACTACCCAGGGGCTCAGGTGCTGGACGTCCAGGTCACTACCCCATTCAGGCTACCATGTGCACCCCAACTTTGGGGACCCTCAGGTACCGAGGCACAGGAGTGATGGAGGACCCAGGACAGAGGCCAGCCTTTGGGCTCAGCACAGTCCAAGCAGGCCCAGGCACGTGTTTAGCGCACTTTACACACAGCTCCCGAAACCCAGCAAGTCGGATGAAGGCAGCCCACGCTCCGTGTCCTCCCAGCTCCCACACCCACACCACTTCCCTCCAAGCACCCACGCCTGCACTGGGAGGGGCCCCACCTCTCCCGGGCTCTCCGCACCCACAGACACTGTTTCATCCTGGGCTCATGCTCCAGGGGGCAGGGAGGTGACAGGCTCCCAGACTCTGTGGGGTCCCCCTTGAGTTAGTAAGACTAGAACTTGGGTCCTAAATAAGCAGGCTCTGCCTCTCCCCTTCCCGGAAGAAAGAGAAGAGAGCCTCCTCCTCCGCCACCAGGCCCAACCAGAAAGCTGTCCCCACCCCCCATCAGCTGCTTCCAGCTCTGAATGGGATTTGCAGAAGTCCTGGGCAATGGGGGTGGGTGGGTGGTGGACTCGGTGAGCGGTAGGGAAGGAAGGTCTGGGGCCTGGAGACACTGAGACTGTGTGTGTGTGTGTGTTGCATGTAACGGCCGCTGGGGAAGGATGTGGCAGGTCCCCGGGGTGCCGACCTCAAGGGAGCCTTCACCTCCTTTAGAGAGATTCAGACCCAGAGGTTGGGGAGGCGGATGGACAAAATAAGCAGATTTCCTTCTGCCCCTCGCTTCTTCCCAGATCGGGTTGGGTGGGCTCTGGAGCTGGCCCGGCTGCAGGGGGAGGCGGCCCACTCCCCAGCTCCCGCCCTCGCCCCAAACAATGCCGCTTCCCCCTCCCCCTCGCCTTTATCCGGCCGGTTACTTGGCAGCCGCCTGGCGAGACCTCCTCCTCCCCCTCCCCGCCCCGCCAGCCTGCAGCAGCAACAGGCCCTTTGCGCGGCAGCTGGACGGATGGGGTGGGGGCGAGGTCTGGGCCAGGGCCTTGGGCGTGGGGGCACTAGGGCCCAGGCTTCGGAATGCAGGGCGCCAGGCCTGAGAATCTGTACCCCAATGCGCGCGCGCGCACACACACACACACACACATACATTCCGGCCAGGGTCACACATCCCCACGGGGGATGGGGAAGGGGACGGAGCCCCCCAGCTCAGCCCAGAAAGCACTTCGGGGCCTGGGGTGAGCCGGGAAAGCCGACAAAGCACCGGGCTGGGTCAGAAGGGGTCGTCCCGACAACTCCTGAGTGGGTCCCTGTGGATCCCGGGTGCCCGGCGCACCGTGGTGGGGGAGGGGGCAGCTGTCAGAAGATGAATTGGTGGCCCCAAGCCGCAGCCGCCTTTTATTTTTAAACTTCCCAGCGCCCGGAGGATGGCGGGGAAGCGGTCCCGGCTCGGCCTCCCCTCGGCCTCCGCGCGCGGTCCTCGTCCTCCCCGCCTCGGGCCTCTGCGTGGCTCCCGCCATACCTGAGGGGGTGCCGGGACCCGGCTCCGCACGCGGGCCGCTTTCCATGGCTGCGGCGTCACACCGGGGGCTTTTCAAAGAGGGGGTTCTCAGCGGCGACAGCGACGGCGGCCAGGGGCCAGGGCAGGGCTCCCGCGGCGCATCACGCCCGGCCCAGAGGGCGACGAGTCGGAGATGGCGACGCTCCGGAAAAGATGGGAGGCTGTGGGCGAGACGGGGCTCGCAGTTGCCGGCCGCCCAGTGTTCGTGGGCTCCCGACCGCGATCCTACTGCCTGCCCCGCGCCGGCCCAGTCCCGGCCGCGGCCCAACCCTATTGTACCGCCCGGGCTGGGCCTGGCCTCTCGGCGCGTACCAATGCGGACGCGGGGAGGGCCGCCCCCGCAGCGCCCTAGGCCCGGCCCCGCGCGCCCCGCGCCGTGCGCGCCCCGCCCCGGCCAGGCCCGGAGCGCCGCACGCAGAGCCCCGTGAGGCCCGGCTCGGGGGACGGCGGCCGAGGAGGGCGCCAGGCCACGGGGCGACGCGGGGCGGTGGCCTCCCCCTGCGGCCGCGTTGGTTCGCGCCGCCGCGCGAGCAGGCTATGTAGGGAGCGCTCGGGTGACTCACCCCGCCGCGGTGACCGGCTGGTGGGGGAGCGCCTGGGATACCCCAAGGTTCGCCTAGCGGCCTGGGAACTCAGGCTTCGGGGAGGCGGCAATCTCAATTTTCTCCCACATCCACCTTAAGCAGAATCGGCTTGGGGAGGGGATGTGGGGGAGATGGAGAGGCCAGTGGGAGACCCCTCCCGGGGCTGCGCTGGCTCTGCCCCGGCAGAGGCTGGGAAAGGCTGAGGCCTGGGAGTCTAACTGCCTCCCTTCCTCCAGCATCCCGGGGCCGATGCCTCCCCAGCTCACCAGGGGTAATTACAGCTCTGCGCGCGGATGCCTTACCCAGGTCTCTAATCTGTTGAGTCCCTCCCAGCACCAAACTGGGTGGTCCTGGGCCTGAACTTCCCCCACCTCCAGGAATGGACGCAAGGCCCTCTCTCCCCAAAAGGAGTTTTAGCCTCAAGCCTTTTGACTCTGCTCCTTGAAGCAGCCCCTGGTCCTTAGGGCCCCTGGAGCAGCATCCCTCTTGTCATCTTGTTGGTACCCGTGGAGGTGAGGGCCTCAATCCAAGCCCCGTCCCGGCTGGGGCCGAAGGGGGAGCTTGCTGGGAAGGTGGGTCGATGAAGCTGCTGCAACTGCAGGGACCGCCCGAGGGAGAAGGGAGGAAGGACAGCTGGGCTCTGGCACCCGGGCCCTGCCCTCTGTCCTGACCCCAGAGGGTCAGGTCTCTGCTTGGCCATTGTTGGGAGATTACCTCTGCAAGACGCTGCGGCCCCTGCCCCCTTGCCCCTCCTTTCCCATCGCAGCCTCCTTCCTTTGAGCAGCTCCGGCGAGCCGACTTTAAAGGAGAAGGGTGGGAAACAAAAGAGTGGGAATCCCACAGCGGGCAGCAGGCCGGCCTGGGGGGAGGCGGGATGTGAGGTGCCTGGAGGCTTGACAGCTCCTGAAGGGAGGCCCCTTTTGACAACCGCTAGAGGAGCATGGACAGATAGCCGTGAGTGCAGCTATGGTCGTAGTGACCTCACTTCTGAAGCCCAGTTTGGTCACCTGTACAATCACGAAAATAACAGTGACGACAAGCTGAAGACAATGTGGCACGTAGGTAGACGGAGTCCTTATCACAGAGCTGGCAGACAGTAAACAATACAGATGAAGAAGATGATGATGATGGTGTTGGCTTTGTTCACGAAGGGGCTTCACAGGCAAAAAATTAAATAAGGGCTGGGGAGCAGTCCCCACCTGTGTGGGTAGCCACCCACCTGCAGGGAGTGGTGCTCCATGGGTGATGGCTCTATGACTGTCCTTTATGAGGTCAGAGGCCTTGAGTCTGCAGCCGCGGAGTTGGACTGGCCCGTCCGGATCCAGTGGCAGCTGGACTGAGAGAGTTAGGAGTCCAGCCCAAAGCGCTGCTTTTCCTGCCACCTCTGCTCATTACAGGGATCCCAGCAAGCAGATGGGACTCGGAAGGCTCCCACTGGCAAGAGCTGGGAATGGCCAAGGAGAGGAGTGGGCATTGTGGCATAGTGGTGCCACCTGGGACAAACCCCATGTCTCTGAATATCCGGTGTTTGTCCTACCTATTCCATGGCTGCTGTGAGATATTTATTTATTTATTTATCCCCCCCCCCCTTGGTACAGTGGCCTAGCAGCTAAAGTCCTTGCTTTACATGCACCAGGATCCCATATGGGCACCGGTTCGTGGCCTGAGAAAACAGCAGAGGACTGCCCAAGGCCTTGGGACCCTGTACTCACTTGGGAGACCCAGAAGAGGCTCCTGGCTCTTGGCTTCGGATTGGTTCCTCTCTGGCCGTTGCAGCCACTTGGGGAGTGAATCACCGGATGGAAGATCTTCCTGTCTCTCTTCCTTTCTGTATATGTGACTTTGCAATAAAAATAAATCAATCTACTCTGTTAGACCTATTTTCAGACCATAGAAGGTCTCCCCAAGAGGCCACTGAACTTATCTGGACAATAAGACGCTGAACTTTATGCTAGGCATGTGTCTGCAAGCAATGAATCTCAACCGAACTTGAACTATGGTTATGCAACAAGGTGGAGGAATCCACCATGGGGGGAGGGGTATGGGAGGGGTGGGGGGAATCCCCAGCGCCTATGAAACTGTACTACACAATACAATGTAAGCAACAATAATAAAAAAAAAAAAAAAAAACCTGCCTTTTTCCATTTAGCATCTTATCAAATGAATGAGATTTCATTTGCTGATGAATTTAGTTCAGCTTCAAGGGAATTTTTCTCTTCTTGGGGAGGCTGAAGAAGCAGACTTGTCATGCCAAAGAGCCAAAGGATGCCTACGGCAGAAAGGACAGTCTGCTGTTCAACCGGTAAAGTAGAGAGTCTTTGTCAATTTCAACCCTCCCACCATCCTCACCCTGTTTCTTAGAGGCCCAAATGTTGATTTAAATTTATTTTTTTATCTGTGCTTTTGCATTATGATGTTTAGCTTGCTTTATTAAAACCATTAATTTACATGAAAAAAAAAATCAATCTTAAACAAATACATACATACATACATACATACACATATGTATAGATACACTTATATATTTGGATATATATATTTGAAAGACAGAGTTACAGAAAGAGGTAGAGACAGAGATCGTCATCTGCTGTTCCCTCCTCATGTGGCTGTAGCAGGGCTTGCCCACATTGAAGCCAGAAGCTAGGAACTCCATCCCAGTCTCCCCCATGGGTGCGGGGGCCCAAGCACCTGGGCCACCCTCCACTGCTTCCCCAGGTGTGTTAGCAGGGCACTGGATCAGGAGTAGAGCGCCTGGGACTGGAACCTGCGGTGCCAGCCCCTCTGCTTCTGATCCAGCTTCCTGCTAATGCCTGTTCTGGCAGGCAGCAGCTGATAGACTGAGTCCTTATGCTCTTTGAGTGCTTGCCACTCACATGCAAGACTTGGTTGGAATTCTAGGTTCCTGGTTTTGGCGTGGCCTGGCCCCGGTTGCTGTGAGCATCTGGTGGGTGAACCAGCAGATGGATGAACAGTTTCCCTCCCTCTCTGTTACTCTGCCTTTCACACAAATAAGGACGTGGTGGGGGGAGGGGGGAGAGAAGAAAATGACTCCAAGTGTGAAGAGCCATTCTTAGGCTGGGGGTTCCGGCCCCTGCCCCCACACACAGAATGCTGGATGTTGGGGGCCAGCGAGGCATCTGAGACTTGTGGGACCTGTGGAGTAGTTTTCCTGGCCGGCCCTCTGGGTCCACAGCAGGTTCTGGGACGGCAGTGGCAGCAGCCGAGGAACCTGGGAGGTGGCAGGTGTCCTGTGCTGGATGCAGCCTGGGGAGGCAGAGGAAGCACCTTCCCACTGTATGCCCCTTGCTGACCAGCATCTCTTGCACATCTCTGGCATTTGTGACCGGGCAGTTTGACAGAGGGTGCTTCTGCGAGTCTGTGCCTAGTTGACACATGCCTAGGACTCCCCGTGGCCCCCTACATATTAGAATGGCAGAGCAAGAGAAAGTGGGGCCCTTGCAAAGGCAGGGGTTGAGGCCCCAACGGCTTCCCTCCTCCACACAGAAATAGACTTGAGTGAGCTGTTGGTCTTACCACAAAGCTGGGCTTTTGGTTAGTGGTGTGTGGGGGAGATCCCTGATGGGGCTCAGAGGCAGTGCTTCTTACAGACCCACGGGGGTGGGGCGCGTGGGGGAAGGGGCAGCAGGAACAAGAGCGCTGGCCACCTTCTAGGTTCGTTGTGGAAGAGTCCTGGAGGAGCCTGCCGGAGGGGAGAGAAACCACAGGGACGTGTGGCCCAGAGATAGGAATCTGAGGCAGGCCCTAGCCGCTGCCTCCACACCCGAGGCAGTCGGAAGTGGGAGGAGCCCCATCAGGGCGGCCAGCAGGAAGGGACACTAGATTCTCACTTCCACACCCCACCCGCGAGGCTAGAGGGGAGTGGTCCTCCCAGGGAGCTCCAGTCCCCCAGGGCCCACGTCCTCAAGCCTGCGGGGTCAAGCTGCTGTTTCACTCCCTCCCGTCCCTGATAGCGGGAGGAGGAGGGAGGGATTGGAGGACCAAGGATGGGAACTGAGCTTGGGGACTGAACAGGGTCAAGGCTTCAGGCTCCTGGGAGGGTGGGGGCGGGGATTGTTGTCTTGAGGCCCCAGCTCTGCATTCTTTTATTTTGGGGGCTGGGGGGAGCAGGAGGTGATCAGAGTAGGGAGGGGGTTGTGTGATGTCCCTCAGTGTCCTGGCATCTAACGAACGTGGCAAGGGAGGAGCTGAGATTTGGGGTGATGGGTGGCAACACTGGGACCCCTTGCAGGGCTTGTACAAGAGAGCTTTGAAGCTCCCCACCCCCAAGCAAGGAGGAGACCCTGCCGAAAAGCCCGGGTGGACCCCACTCCACCCTTAATTTGGGACGGATGACGCGGCAAGTCCCTGAGTGACAGCGACGCCCAGAGGAGGACTCCTTAGGCAGAGGGGATCTCCGAGGCTGTGGCCCAGCGGGCCCAGGCTCCGCCTCCCGCCCCTCCGGAGCCGCCCTGCCTGACAGCAGCTGGGTGGGGTCGGCGGCTGGCCGTGACTGTGAGTCAGCTTTCTGCGGGCAGCCAAGGGCAGCCGACGGGGAGGAGGCCAGACGGATGGACAGGCCGGCCCACTGCGGCGTTCACCTCAGCTGTCCTCTCTCCTGGGACTGGAGGAGGCGCCTGTCAAGCTGTGCTGGCCTCCTGGAGTGGGGAACAGAGGCAAGCTGACCCCTGCTTTCCTCCTGCTGCCAAGGCCACCTCCAG